ACCGAAAATCGACAGGACTGGATATTATTTGTAAATTGTTATGACATGCCGCTTGCTTCCCAGTTATATTCCCCGAAAGCATCATCGTATCTCAACTTATATCTCTATCCCCCAGCCCGACCCCAACCACCGACACCCGTCATGGATTTCCTTTGAGACGACCCCTCCTACCTGTTTCTTTTTATAGCGATAGTGAGACTCCATGGCAGCTACATCCTTCATAGTTTCAGTATTTAAGTTATTATTTTTTACGTCAGCTATCGTTTATAATAATGAAGCTAACTTTATTTCAAAGTGGACATTTAAAATTTTTCCTTTGTAATATAATATCATCGCACACTAATTTGCATAAAGCCATGGCCTGTTCCAAATAAGTCGCTTTGGACTTCAGAAAAAAACCGCATTTCTCATTTCTGCACTAATCTCTCCTCAGTAAAGTCCTTTTCTACCTTCCCTATATCCCTACCACTGAGACTGTAGTTAGGCCTTACTTAGTTTAACAGATATTTCACACTTACACATGTCAACTACATAAATTGTAGATTTCAATGCGAAAAAAGTTTTTTTCTATTTCCGACGAAGCCTAGAACTCATATACTCGTACAGTGTGTGCCGTTTGTTGTAACTTTGAAACGTATTAGCATAAAATATTTGCATCGTGTGCTGTTTATAAATTTACATATTTTTAGCTGATTTGGAAAAACAGAATAATTGCCCTGGTATATATATTTAACAAACGTGCATATATACATTCAGGAAGTTGTATCGTGACATCCCATATAGTATCAATATGTCACCATTATCCCTAGCAAGGGTAAAATTACCACCAAGGAAAAACTAATTAAAACGAACGAAATCTGTAGTTTACTCAGGAACGCAAACATGGCAAACATTTACTCATTTTGTGATTCTGATAGCTGTGTTCGTATGACGTTATCGAGTGCCGGCATTTTCAAGATTCTAATTTATACTCAAGAAATCCTGTAACTGTATCAGTAAGCGAGCACACTGGAATATCGTATGTAATCTTGTAGATACCGTGCACCACTGTCGGCGATGAGTCTCAATGTCACTTTAGTGGCTGATAGGTAGATTTGATTGGCAGATGATATGGCAAAGTCTCTTTTATAACGTAGAAATCCATCTTGATGAGAAATTGCATTGGCGATTTCTTCTCCAGTAATCGCCCGTCGTGCCGAAGACGCGGGTTCGATTCCCCAAACACAGCAGTAAAGTACCACTCGCCCTGAACAACACGCAATGTCCCCATACACTATGTACAAGTGTGAAAAATGAACATATTTCTTTTTTAAAAATTGCACTGCTACGCCCTGCTTTATCTGCTGAATCAGGGATACTCTACTCTTATATAGTATCCCTGGTTGAATCAACATGGTGTTGAATCATAATTTTAGGACATGTCATCACAATATGTTGTATATGTATCCAGGTCTCGAACAGATTTACAAGTGAAACAGAAGCAAGCATTAAAGAAATGTACTGATAAAGATCCGTCTTCTCATTACTTTTAGATGGGTGGTTGGACAGTCTCATGTCCCAAAACAGGTTACGAACGCTTCACTCAACGTCTCGGGTGGAAAAAAGGTGAGGGGTTATGATAGAAACAACATATCTACAACTATCACAACTTGTTACTCCCGAGCCAGCCTTACACGTCATGGTATACCTGACAAAGCGACATGGACTTGAGTAATGCCATTACTCAAATTAGGTACGAGAAATCAATAGAATTAAACACCCCCAGCTCAAATTTCAATCAATTAAGGTTTTCTAAACTTTTGGCTGATCAATATTAAGCCAAAAACAAATATAACGGTGTACTGTAACCAGGGAACTAAGACCGAGTGTGCTCTGGTACTACCTGCTGACCAAGTGATCTAATTTTGACTTGAAGTAAAGATCTGCATTCAGTTTTGCAGGCTTATTCTTTCCCTTGGAATGCCCTGGTGAACAATAAACAAGACTTTATCAAGAATCTAAATCAAGCACAGCGTTTTCTAATTGCATGAGTTCAAACAGGGTACAATTGGCAGCACTTGCATGTGAATTGAAGGTGCACATCAGACCATACACCTTGATCAGTTATCTCCCTTCCCCAGCTCTAACACAACAGCCAAACAACACCCTGCAGTTAGTCGTCACCATATTTATTTATAAAAATGTCGACATATACAACCTGATATAACATCCTTTTTCCAAAGTTTTCCAGTAAATATGATGTGCTAACATACAGAGTGTGATGTCTTGTTTATTGTATAAGAAAGTGGTAACACATAGAGTGTGATGTCTTGTTTATCATATAAGAAAGTGGTAACATATAGAGTGTGATGTCTTGTTTATCGTATAATAAAGTGGTAACATATAGTGTGATGTCTTGTTTATCGTATAAGAAAGTGGTAACATGTAGAGTGTGATGTCTTGTTTATCGTATAAGAAAGTGGCAACATATAGAGTGTGATGTCTTGTTTATCGTATAAGAAAGTGGTAGCATGTAGAGTATGTCTTGTTTATCGTATAAGAAAGTGGTAACATATAGAGTGTGATGTCTTGTTTATCGTATAAGAAAGTGGTAACATGTAGAGTTGATTTTGTTTATCGTGTATAAGAACATATAGTGGTTTATCATATAAGAAAGTGGTAGCATGTAGAGTATGTCTTGTTTATCGTATAAGAAAGTGGTAACATATAGAGTGTGATGTCTTGTTTATCGTATAAGACAGTGGTAACATGTAGAGTGTGATTTGTTTATCGTATAAGAAAGTGGTAACACATAGAGTGTGATGTCTTGTTTATCGTATAAGAAAGTGGTAACATATAGAGTGTGATGTCTTGTTTATCGTATAAGAAAGTGGTAACATATAGTGTGTGATGTCTTGTTTATCGTATAAGAAAGTGGTAACATGTAGAGTGTGATGTCTTGTTTATCGTATAAGAAAGTGGTAACATATAGAGTGTGATGTCTTGTTTATCGTATAAGAAAGTGGTAACATATAGTGTGATGTCTTGTTTATCGTATAAGAAAGTGGTAACATGTAGAGTATGATGTCTTGTTTATCGTATAAGAAAGTGGTAACATATAGAGTGTGATGTCTTGTTTATCGTATAAGAAAGTGGTTACAGAAAAATCTTTCAAGGATGTGTCAAAGAATACAATCAATCACAGTCTTGACAAGAACAATCTTGGTTACCTGGATAAAACGATATATTTACATTCATGCTGTGTTGCATAGCAACATGCATAAACACTATCATTAACTGTTTCATGTGTAACCGGTAACAATTGATGCATCCTACTGTATAATGTATAACAATGATCATCATTCATAAACTCACTATCATATCAAGTGAACCAAATGCACAGGCATAATCAACCTCATCAGTTAGTAGTAGAAACACTTCCACCTCGGTGAGATGTCAGGTACTTAGGTGTTTGTAACTGTAAAATATGCATTCCATGAAGTGTAATGCTAAACTCACGGAAGCTAATAAGGGAACACCTGAAACTACAAGTGTTCCTTTATTCTTTTCCAGAATTTCACCCACAGTGCAATATAAAGCTTATGAAGAAACCTGGAAAAGAATAAAGGAATACTTGTACTTTCAGGTGTTCCCTTATTTGTTTCCATGAGTATATTTATATCACTGCTATACACCAAATGTGAACAATCTGCACCAGAATTCATGTGATAATGTTGATTACACTGCTGTAGATTCTCAAGTGTAGTTCTCAAGGTCCATATGACAGAGATTAATTCCAGGCAGTTAAGGAAACATCCCATCTTCCAAGGAATTTGTAACAAAATTGGTAAAAATGCAATAGATCAATCAAATATCTTATCACTAACAATGCCATAATATGTTACCCCTCAAGAGTAAGATACTAGAAAAAGATATAAAGTATCGCAATTGTCTGGCTGACATTGATTCCGATACATGTTATTGAACATCGTTGTCAGTATGAACAGTTTCATGTTGTACTGGGTTGAAGTACATGCATTACATGAGAGAGTTGCTGAAATATCACAAGAGGACACATCCATGGATGTATACACAATGTTTTATATGTGGACATATTGAAGTGTGCAGGAATACATGATTCACTTCTTTAGAAAATGATGCAACTCACACTTGTTATCATACAGTAACCTCAGTCTTGCAGTCAATGGGATATTTGGTTTATGGTTTTATCGAGTCTGGTTAAGACAATATGGTGGTGAAAGACCTCCAGTTGCATCACTCAGACAATCTAGATACAATGTCTCAGACAGAGTGCAAGGTAGATCATGTGAGACACAGTATATCAACATATCCTCAATTAATTTAGAATTTGACCGACTGAGTTTGGCTTTACGCCGCTTTTAGCAATATTCCAGCAACATCACGGCGGAATTAGAATTTGAAGACAAATATGCACAAAAACCATAAAAAACAGTATAACTACATACTGAAGTGCATAATGTAACAAAGATAAAACACTATCTCTCGCGTATTAAAACCTTGACATGTATAACTGTTGTGATGAACTAATGAAACATGCAACACACTTGCAGCATCACATTGACAGAAACAAATTCATGTGAAACGAGATTTACAAGCATAATAATGTTCATAAGATTCACTCATAATTGAAAATATCCAATAGACTGGACCCACAGGAGAAGGAGTAAATTGAAGACTCCAAGGGCAAAAGAAATTATATGTTCAGCCCAAAAGCTTAATGCTGATTTTGTCATTGATGGTGTATCTGAAGGAATGTAAGCTTCATGTGACAGACCAACAGTGTTGACTGTAGTCCGAGGTAGGATCCTGCACTGTGATCGTCATGAATGGGGGGGGGGGGGGAGAAAGATTCTAGAGGTTTCAATACCATACAATACAGGTTCTTGACATTCCCTTCACGGACATCATACCAAGTTACTAACAAAATGTCACACCTTCACTATATGTATATATAATAATTACCATACTCAACTTGAATCCTGTTTGTGGAAATTGAATTGTTTACAGGAATGATTTATAAATCGTTTCATTAAAAAGAGCATCAAAACTACAAAAATTACATGAAAATGTGAGGAAAAGTCATAATATTGAACTTCCATATATATATGTTAAAAGGTTTCTATTTAAATTGATATTGAAGACAAATAGTGAGTCCATCCATTGCAGAAGCTGTGCATTAGTTCCAGTGACGCTCAGATTGGATCACATGTATCCATGTAACTTTGTAACTGGCATAACAAAAACATGCACAAACTTTTAAACGAAATCCCAAACTCTTGTGACACTCCTTCACTGCAACCCTAACCAATCCCTCTCACACGTCTCCTGTGTAAAGGTTCTACTTCTAGTGCTAGATCATCATTCTGCCAGGTTCATGACAAGGGTCTGGGATTGGACAGAATCGGCCGGGCCTTTGCCGCTGCCACTTCTGCAGCCTTCCTGGCAGTGCCCTTAATTTTCTCCTTGCTTGAAAGCGTGTGGTCTTGCACAGCAGTCGGCGCTTCCATACTGAACAGTTTGTCTAGCACATAATCATAACCCTTGCATGTCTTGTTGATGTTTTTCTTGAATCGTTCCACTCCAAACTTTTGTATAGCAAAACCCAAGCCAAAGACTGAGGATGTGATCCAGGCAGACCGCTCACACAAAGTCTGCTTGCCATTGTCAGGGTTCACCTTGTATACACATTTCTCTTCAATGCTCTGCAATACAAAAGCATGTTGAAAATCATAATCTAACCATCTTGATGGGCCGAGACCTAACAGACCTTGCTAAAACATGTAAAAAGGAGTTTCCAATTTTGCAAGTAGTAAACAGATTTGAATAAACTAATGTCATCTTTTGATCAACTGCTTGTGTTATCAAAGTCATCACTGTTTAACAGTTCAACACAAACATTGTACTCAATCTTGGAAATAGACTGACTGACTGAGTTTAGTTTTACGCCGCTTTTAGCAATATTCCAGCAATATCACGGCGGGGGACACCAGAAATAGGCTTAACACATTGTGCCCATGTGGGGAATCGAACCCGGGTCTTCGGCGTGACGAGCCCTTGGAAATAGAATGCCTATGGACCACACTGTCATCATGGTCATTATGTCATATGCTACTTGAAATCTAAATGCTTGGCGAGTCCTCAGAAGCCGAGACACTGCTTACGTGTAACCAGACAAGCATTCCAACACCATCATGTCATCATCATTATGATTAATTATTTGCCATGGATATTTGCTTTTTTGAGTCATCAAGTGTTTTCTTTGATACCTCTCGCCATCACATTTTTTTTCAGCACCTCAGTCACAGACAAATGCAAACTGTGTAAGAATTTTTGTGGTCATTGCAATCTATATAGATGCCCCAGTAGCTCGGCGTTTGAATAAGCTTGACTAGTTTTCGCTTGGAACTGCAATCATAGTTATATTTAGATTCTTTCATGCATAAAAAGTCATGAAATATATATATTGGCAAATGAATCATTTCAAACAGCCGACCGAATCTGACACATAGTGGTTTCAAAATTTTAATCAAAGCATAAACGTGCTAGGTAATGTATTTTTTATATGCAGACACATGTTAAACTTGCATTCTAAAAAAAAAGCGTTTTACAAACCATGAGTTTCTGCATTCCAATGTTCCTAGAATATGTAATTATGGTCTTCTTTTCAGGATCAACTATAGATTCCTCTACAATGCAGACCCAGTGTGGTCCCGGGAACAAATCTTTCTCCCCATTTAGGCACTGGATTAGTCTTGGTCAGCAGTCTAGTCGTGTGCAACCCATCCTTGCGTATCTCTCGATTAACAACATCCTCTGTCAGGACATGCTTGCTGCAACATTATGTAATTTTCTGAATAAAATTGATATTTTATACTTATCCTGACTCATGCTTATTGCTTGTCTCCTTCCTCTTGCGAACGTTAGTGGAACACTTGTATCTTCTATTGAAGCTCCCTTCATAACGTAAAATCACTACTCACCATGAATTATCCCTCTGGCCGTTTTGGCGGGAAAAGTGGCGCCACCGCTCCCACATGCTTCACTCTCTCCGATATTTCAGCCCAACACTTTAATTTGCAGGGAAATCCAAAAGTGTCTAGCGGGGAGGTTGGGAGGGCTTACCTCATGAGTCAGGATAAGTATAAAATATCAATTTTATTCAGAAAATTACATATTTTTCCTTATCCTGACTCATGCTTATTGCTTGTAGAATCCGTCGGATTTGGAGGCGGGTCAAGTTACTTCTGGATTTCATGTAGTGATTTACGTGCTATATACCCCCCTATGGGAACTTCATGTTGGCACTGCTGTTTTCTCTGCTGCTGCTGTAACCCTGTACTTCCAGCTGTCTCTGACGGGGGACCACAATAGTTAACTTTTGGTCCTGGCAAGCATCAAGAGGAGAAGCGACCCTTTCCTGCACGAGTATCCTTACAAGTACTGGGTCATATCACTTATGCTAGTCTGTCCTTAGACGTGCATATAGACTCCAAGCTGAACTCTTCCGAGTGTAGGCTTTATCAAGTCATGTGATAAAAGGGCGAGACTTCGTTTCAACGCCTTTGAGGGACTGTCAACTGTTGTGCAACAACCAGCGGGCCGAAATGGTGAATGCCGGAGACGCCCTCGGTGGCGATGTCCCTCAGGTAATGGTTGGCAAACACCATGTCTGATTTCCAAAAGCAGCCCTCCATTATCGTCCTGATAGAGCAATTCCCATGTAGAGCTGAGTGTTGGCGCCAGAGCTCTAATCTCGTGTGGGTTGGAGGCTCTTGGAGGATCTAGTCCAGCTGCTTTGTAGGCCCGTGGTATGACAGTTCTGATCCAGATTGATATCGTGAGTCGCGGGAGACCTCTGTCTGTGTTGCTGTTGATATCGGGCCGAAAAGGCGGCTTGAATTTCCGTCTCCTGATCCTGGATTTTTGTAGGTATACTTTCAATGCTCTCACTGGGCACAAGGATAGATCCTGCGTATCCTGTGGTCCAAGGGCCGGATGATAATGCTGGGGCGTGGAATTGTCTGTCCGGTTGACCTGGCAGTTGATTCTTTCGCGATGAAATCCCATCGTAGTCCCATATGCACGGTGTTTTGATTTTCATCAAATGCGTGTTCTCTCGTAGTCCAGAGCATGTATTTCTGACATCCTGGCTGCTGTTGCTAGAGGCGAGCAGGAACAGCGTCTTTTCGTCAAGAACTTCGAAGGATGTCCTCTCTAATGGTTCGTGTAGGCGTGCGCTGGTGAGATCTCATAGAACTACGTTGAGGTCCCACGCGGAGCTTTAAATCTCTGTTGTTGGTCCTCCAATTTGTAAGATCGTAGTAAGGCCAGTTACTCTGGTACTTTCGTCAGTTTGGCACCCGTCCTCATGGAGATGACTGAGCTCAATGCCGCTAGGTATGTTGAAAGTGTTGACCCTTTTAACCGCTTTGTTTGTCGTAGGTGACAAAGGTAGTCCGCCACTTGAGGATGTGTTGCCTTTATAGCTGTAAAGCCTGTCCTCGCATGGCGTATGTCTCGAAGCTTAGCCGCCACTTAAAATCGGTACAAGTTAGCGTGACTTCGCGTGAGAGCTAGTGTGACTGCTTTCGCTGCCCTGGTGGAATATCCTCTCTTGTTCAAGCACGCCTTGATACAGTCCACACGTGTAGTCGGAACACCTCTGGGTTGCCGTGCACCTGCTTTGTGTGGGGATGTACTAGTAGATTCGTCCACTCTGGTAGTTGCAGTTGAGGTTGTCCTAATTCTTGTATTCTGTAACACCCTCGGTATTAGAGCTGGTGGTGGAAAGGCGTACGCGTTTAGTCCTTCCCAGGAGATGCTTAGAGCGTCCGTTGCCCATGCTTGTGGATCTGGTATTGGTGAGACGAATGTTATCAGTTGATTGTTGAATCTTGTGGTAAAGAGGTCTTTTAGTGGTGCTCCCATCTCTTGTATGATCTGCTTGAAGATCTCTGGGTGTAGCATCCATTCTGTTGGGGACGGCTGTGTTGGACGGGACAGTGCGTCTGCGATCACATTCTTGGCTCCTGGATTGTGGCATGCTCTTATGTGGATGTTCAGGTCGTCTGTTATGCCGAACAGTTGAAAGCAGAGGTCCAGGATGTTCGACGATCTTGTTGATCCTTGCCTGTTGATGTAGAACGCCACTGTGGAGTTGTCCGTATGTACCATCAGATGCGCATCCTGCAGAATGTTGGTCCAGTGGAGTATGGCATTTGCTACTGCTTTCATTTCTAGCATGTTGATGTGCAGAACTTCCTCCTCTTTGGTCCATGTCCCAGCTGACACGTCGTTGTCAAGATGTGCTCCCCAACCTTGGAGTGATGCGTCCACGTAGAGATGCGTCGTGCACTCCGGCTCTGCTAAATAGGTGCCTCCGCAAACATTCGATCTCTGGTTCCACCATAGTAGATATGGGCGTAGTGCATCCGGGAGTCCGAAGGGTTCCGGGTCGTCCAGATGAGCATTGACGAAGACCTGTAGAGGGCGTAGTTGTAGTCTCCCTCTGACTGTCATGTCTTGCGCTGATGTGAGGAGACCCAACAGACTCTGCCATTGTCGTAGTGACCACGGAGAGAGTAGAACTTGCGAGATCGTCTGTTGTATCTTGAGCCATCGGTCCTCTGGTACCACTATGCGGTTCTGTGTTGTGATGAACCGGATTCCTAGGAACTGTAGGTCCTGTGTAGGTTCTAGGTCCGACTTGAGGAGATTCACTAGCCACCCCAATTGTGTAAGCAGTCTGATGGTGAAGTCCAGTTGAAGTCTGAGATGCTTGGGATCTTGATGTACTTGAATCTCGTCGTCTAGGTAGAATGCATTGCGTAGACCTCGATGATGTAGGTATGTGACTATGGGCTTCGTCATCCTTGTTAACAACCAGGGGGCCGATGATATTCCAAATGGCAGGACCTTCCATTGGTAGTGCCGTCCGTCCAGTATAAACCTCAGGTACTTCCTTGAGTCCGGATGTACAGGGATGTGCAGGTAGGCGTCCTGTAGATCTATGCTGGCCATGTAGTCCATCGGACGGACGAGGTGTAGGAGTTGTGGTAGATGTATCATGCTGAACTTTGGTGGTCTGCATAGATAATCTTTGTTGAAGGCCCTCACGTTGTAGATGAATCGGAACTTTTCTTTGGAGTTTTACTTTGGCACTAGGAAAACTGGGGAGTAGAATCCTGGTGAGAGCTGGTCCTGGTCCACCACTTCTATGGCTTCCTTCTCTAGTAGAGATGTGACCGCTTCTCGTAGCCTCTCTGTCCGATGGGTCGAAGTTGAACTTGTGAGGTTAGATCTGTCAACGGTGAGAGTTGCTTGTAGTTGTATGCGATATCCGTCTCTCAGGATGCTGGATACAAAAGGATCTTGAAGAATTCCCCAGTTCTCCCAGTAGGTTTGAAGGCGTCCACCCACTTGTGAAGGTTGTACAGGAACGGCTGGGGGTGGAAGACTCAAGTCGTTCCGAACCCCTCTTTCATTGTCTCTGATCCTTCACGCCTCTGGGTGCCCTGCCTCGTCCAGGTCGTCCTTTATAGTTGCCGGCTGGGCGACGAAAAGAGTCCTTCCCGCCTCTGGAAGAGCTCATTTTCTTGTCTCTTGCCTTCTGGATGCCTGGGAACTTCGACTTGCCTGAGTAGCTGGGACGTCTGCCTGATGACACTGGCTAGGGTATCGATGGACTTTATCATGAGGACCTCTCTGGAGTCTTTGGTAACTTCTTTGGCGACGTCGTCAATCTCCCCTGCGAAGATGGATGGCGTTGACCATGGGGTTGTGTACAGCGACTTCGTGAAGCGTTCACTCCAGTTGCAGGATGCTAGTAGACCTTGCCGCCTCGCCAACTTCAACCCTGCTGAGATGGATGATAGATGGTCCGTCATAAACTTCTAGTCCTTCTTCTGCATGAGTAGAGCAGAGTAGATCATCCGGTCCTCCTCTGCGGTAGAGTCCTTGAACTTGGCGATGAGCATCTCGTTCACTGCCCTGGATCTATTCAGGCCGAAGAACATCCTTCTGGTCATAGTCTCTATCTGCGCCAGCTTTTTGTCGTCAATCTTGTAAGACTTGGTCCGGGCGGCGTTGATGACATTGTAGTTATCATCGATGTCCTGCGCCTTCATGAAGGGGTCCATATTGTGTAGAGAGAACTTCTTAGCGTTGAACTGTGGAATATTTGGCGCCTGGGATTTCGTTGCCTTCCGGAAGGCTGCGTCCAAGTTCTCTGGAACCTCCGAGATGGGATCAATTGGTGGTAGAGTGATTGTGTCGACATCATCGTCTTTCATCAGGTACGTGAGTGCTGCATTCTCTTCCTTAGAGGGTGACGCTAACTCCAGTCCGTTGGCCATCCAGTATCTCATCTCTGTGTCGGAGAAGATAATACCGCCATCGTGCTCTGTTTCTGGGGCGCTGATCGGAGATCTTTGAACATCCACTGGGGATCTGTGTGGAGACCTACGCGGAGACCTGCGCGGAGATGAGCCTGTAGAGCTGCGCCTGTAGGGCGATCTGCGTGGAGACCTGCGTGGAGGTGAGCGTCTCTTGGTTCGTGAAGGCCTCGGCGAATCCCCCGACGATCTGTGAGATGTTGATGACGTCCTTGAGGCTGTCTCCGAAGACCTTCGCGAAGGCTGTTCATCTGCGTCGTCCATGGAAGGCCTCTCCAATGCGTCGTCGGCAGGGGGTCCTTTGTGCAGGTCAGGGTCCTCCTTGCGAGTGGTGTCCAAGGCTGGTTGTCGATCTCTTTCCTGCGCGAAGCGCCTGTCCATCATTTCCATGATCTGTTGTGAGAACTGCTGCATGAAGGCCCCCGGGGTTGAATGTCTGCGGTGATAGATGAGCTGCCCTCTCTGCGTTGGTAGCGATATGGTCCAGGGATCGCTCATCTGCCGTCAGTGTAGATACCTCGGACTGCGTAGATAACTGCACTGATGTTACCGTTGCTGAGGCCTGCTTCTTCTTGGGGTGATGTATCTCCGGGATGAGGAGCGGCGGCTCATAGAGTTCTCTTTCCTCCATCGGAACAATCTCGGCCGAGAAAGTCCTAGTTGTCTGTGCAGACGTCCCCGTAGAGCTGCTCGTCGTCTTAGGGGTGCGTGGCCATCTCTGCGTAGATGATGGCTTCTTCTTCTTCGTCTGCGATGAAGGGATGTTCGAAGTGGCAGCCCTCTTCTGCGAGGTGGCAGACAACGTCCCACGTCCATCCTCCGAGGACATCCCCAGCGGATCACCGGAGGGAAGAGGGTCATCTGGATCTGTCTTTTGCACACCTAAGTATGCAAAAAATATATTTATTAAATTCAAAATTGGTTAAATGCTGACAAAGGTTGCAGGGGAGAGCTGGAAGTACATGGTGTTGTGCAGCTAGGGCACAATAAATGCGGGTCTGCAGCAGCGAACCTAAACCTACAACGAGAACAGGTTTTCATGAAATCATGACAACTGAACAAACACGGAAAGAACTGTGAATTAATTTCAAACCATATTGTTGAAGGATACTCCCTAAACCCCTATAAAGGTAATGTATAGGGTAATAACTAATAAATGAAAGGATATAGTGCCGTATAGAAGACACCGGCGCTCTCCCAACCGTCTACTAGGGCGAAGAAGGAGAGAGTGAAGCATGTGGGAGCGGTGACGCCACTTTTCCCGCCAAAACGGCCAGAGGGATAACTCATGGTGAGTAGTGATTTTACGTATGTTTTTATTGAAGGGAGCTTCAATAGAAGATACAAGTGTTCCACTAACGTTCGCAAGAGGAAGGAGACAAGCAATAAGCATGAGTCTGGATAAGGAAAAAAAATATACACACATCTGTCAGAACATGCTTGCTGCAACATTATACACACATCTGTCAGAACATGCTTGCTGCAACATTATACACACATCTGTCAGAACATGCTTGCTGCAACCAGAGCTACAGATAACTTTTTGGGTCATTGAGTTATGTACCCGCTTGTCTTCATCTCAATTGGGTATCCTAATTTTCCTCTGAGTAACCAAACAAATTGTACTCACCTCACTCAAAATCAATTGGGTATTTTGCCTTTTTCCATTAATTGTTAAAATATAATAAAGTTTAAATGTTAGTGTTTGTTATTTATATTTGATCTGTAATATGAGAAACGATATGAAAGACTGCTAGTTGAGTGTTCATGTGCCAAAATAGAACCTCTCAATATACCTCAGTTGCTTTATCTATCCACTGGTACGCAAGCTAAGATTTGACAGTTTTCTGTGTACGCATGTACAATCAAATATATTGATTATTTACAAAAATACAAGCGTCCTTGTACGCAACAGACGTAATAGGAATTGAGTTTTCACATAAATATTTGCGCAGCTTATCTGTACCTCTGTGCAACATTATACACACATCTGTCAGAACATGCTTGCTGCAACATTATATATACATACATACTAGTGTTGGGAATTGGTTAAAATCTTATAATTGATCATTGGTTCAGTACAACCGATCGATCATCGAAAAATTTGGTTAGCGTCATTTTTCAGATTTTCCTATTCTGGTTGTTATTGCAGATAAGGATAACATGATGCAACTTGCTACTTTAAGGTGATGACTGATATATCATGAACATAAACTTCCTGGAGTCTTCAAGAAATATTCAGTCATGACTTTTAGTTAGTGAAGTGAGTATTCTAACAATTAAACACGTTTCACTCAGGCCCTGACATTACTGATAACTTCAAAGATATGTTCCGTCAAGTGTTTCAAAGACTAAACCAATAGTTCCAAAATCGTTTGTGTTCGATTATGAGAAAATGTGATCGATTACTGGGTCGTTTGGTCACTGCGACCAATCTTCGTTTATTTCAATTTATCGGAACACCACTAATACATACACATCCTGTAAGATCACACTTGCTCTAACATCATACATATATCTCCTGTCAGGAGATGCTTACTGCAACATCATACATCTCTTGTCAGGACATGCTTACTGCAACATCATACATATATCTCCTGTCAGGAGATGCTTACGGCAACATCATACATCTCTTGTCAGGACATGCTTACTGCAACATCATACATCTCATGTCAGGAGATGCTTACTGCAACATCATACATCTCTTGTCAGGACATGCTTACTGCAACATCATACATATATCTCCTGTCAGGAGATGCTTACGGCAACATCATACATCTCTTGTCAGGACATGCTTACTGCAACATCATACATATATCTCCTGTCAGGAGATGCTTACGGCAACATCATACATCTCTTGTCAGGAGATGCTTACTGCAACATCATACATCTCATGTCAGGACATGCTTAGGGCAACATCATACATCTCTTGTCAGGACATGCTTACTGCAACATCATACATCTCCTGTCAGGACATGCTTAGGGCAACATCATACATCTCATGTCAGGACATGCTTACGGCAACATCATACATCTCTTGTCAGGACATGCTTACTGCAACATCATACATCTCCTGTCAGGACATGCTTAGGGCAACATCATACATCTCTTGTCAGGACATGCTTACTGCAACATCATACATCTCTTGTCAGGACATGCTTACTGCAACATCATACATCTCATGTCAGGACATGCTTACTGCAACATCATACATCTCATGTCAGGAGATGCTTACTGCAACATCATACATCTCTTGTCAGGACATGCTTACTGCAACATCATACATATATCTCCTGTCAGGACATGCTTACTGCAACATCATACATATATCTCCTGTCAGGAGATGCTTACGGCAACATCATACATCTCTTGTCAGGACATGCTTACTGCAACATCATACATCTCATGTCAGGAGATGCTTACTGCAACATCATACATCTCTTGTCAGGACATGCTTACTGCAACATCATACATATATCTCCTGTCAGGAGATGCTTACGGCAACATCATACATCTCTTGTCAGGAGATGCTTACTGCAACATCATACATATATCTCCTGTCAGGACATGCTTACTGCAACATCATACATATATCTCCTGTCAGGAGATGCTTACGGCAACATCATACATCTCTTGTCAGGACATGCTTACTGCAACATCATACATCTCATGTCAGGAGATGCTTACTGCAACATCATACATCTCTTGTCAGGACATGCTTACTGCAACATCATACATATATCTCCTGTCAGGACATGCTTACTGCAACATCATACATCTCATGTCAGGAGATGCTTACTGCAACATCATACATCTCTTGTCAGGACATGCTTACTGCAACATCATACATATATCTCCTGTCAGGAGATGCTTACGGCAACATCATACATCTCTTGTCAGGACATGCTTACTGCAACATCATACATCTCATGTCAGGAGATGCTTACTGCAACATCATACATCTCTTGTCAGGACATGCTTACTGCAACATCATACATATCTCCTGTCAGGAGATGCTTACGGCAACATCATACATCTCTTGTCAGGACATGCTTACTGCAACATCATACATCTCATGTCAGGAGATGCTTACGGCAACATCATACATCTCTTGTCAGGACATGCTTACTGCAACATCATACATATATCTCCTGTCAGGAGATGCTTACGGCAACATCATACATCTCTTGTCAGGAGATGCTTACTGCAACATCATACATATATCTCCTGTCAGGACATGCTTACTGCAACATCATACATATATCTCCTGTCAGGAGATGCTTACGGCAACATCATACATCTCTTGTCAGGACATGCTTACTGCAACATCATACATCTCATGTCAGGAGATGCTTACTGCAACGTCATACATCTCTTGTCAGGACATGCTTACTGCAACATCATACATATATCTCCTGTCAGGAGATGCTTACGGCAACATCATACATCTCTTGTCAGGACATGCTTACTGCAACATCATACATCTCATGTCAGGAGATGCTTACTGCAACGTCATACATCTCTTGTCAGGACATGCTTACTGCAACATCATACATCTCCTGTCAGGACATGCTTAGGGCAACATCATACATCTCTTGTCAGGACATGCTTACTGCAACATCATACATATATCTCCTCTCAGGAGATGCTTACGGCAACATCATACAACCATCAATGCTACCATATAATGACCTACCTGAATGGATTAGGGTACCTCTGCCAGAAGGCACATGCAACTTGGTCCCAGGAATACTTGAACAGTGAGGAACTAGTATAAAACTTGACCATTGTCACCTTGCAACACAGCTACAAACAGAAACAAGGAGCACTTTTAGAATGCAGCACAACTTTCTGTGATGATCTTGGTAGCAGGTTAGGTGTCATTGAATGCTAGCCTGCCTTGTAGGTGTTATGATAGTTTGACAGGTTTAAACCTCTAGATTTACAGCTTGACAGCTAAACAGTACATTTATCTAGACATGCCTGACATATCATGGTAATGAATAGAAGATGAATAAAAGAATTTAATGAGAGACCTGAGTGAAATTAGAGAAACATCATCAGCTGGTGGCCCCTAAGCTCATTACCAGGAAACGCTTTTGGAAACTGTAAAGACACGTATGATAACATAGAGATAGAACAGACAACATATCAAACCAGTTACGTTCACATTTTCACAAGATTCTACGAAAATGCAAACTAGCACGTGCACAATTGCTCAACTCCAGTTTTCAAACATGCCCCACAGAGTAATTTCATTCAGAAGAGCTCAGGCGTTTGAAAAATACGACAACGTTTCTAAAGTGTGTAGTATCATGTGTGGTAACGTATTAACCTTTGATCCTAAAAGTAACGAGAAACGGGCAATGTCCAAAATGCATTTCTCAAAACAGTGTTCACTCTCTTCGACAATCACACGACGCCATGTTGCCTGCCTGTGACGTCATGATACTAGAGTTACCCCCCTTTGTCTTGTGTGTGGAGGCAAGCTCCCCTTCAGGGCGTGCCACCATCGTTAGCTTCCACCCTGTTGCCGCTGTGCTGAGATGGGCTCCGTCTGTTCATATCACCAAGCGCAAGTTGACTACGCAACACCAAGAGCCGAGAAACCATTTGCCCTCCAACCCGAAAAGAAGTGACATTTATAATTTTTTTGTATCTCTTTGGAAAGTTCATCATAGTTATTTAAGGTATTAATTGTGAAAAGGTTAAAGCTCACTCCACCCAGAATCCCCATTACATTCCCACCATAGGCCTACATAGAAGCTGAAATAGAAACTCAGATTGATAAAGGAAAACATGTAGTTTGGGCATAGTATTCGGCGCTAGCTAGTACAACGGTGTCCCACAATTAGTCAGACACTCCATTAGTTAGACACTCAAAAAACCCAATTACATTCTTGAGTGAACAAATTTTGGGAGGCTGTTACCCATTGGGAAAATGGACTAATCCAACTGTTACCGGATTAGTCAGACATAATGAGACAATTGAGATTTCTGAGACCAGTTTTATTATCTTTTATAGCATCTTTTGTAATTTTCATAATATCTGTTATTATTTCACAATATCACATGCAGTCTAAGTAAAATTGTCACATTCTCACATTCTCTAGCACTACTGGCACAGTATGGAGATACAAAGTCAAATTCAGCCAATCTTCACAAGCTTTCCGACTGCATCCAAATACTTCATTGGAGTCTTGCTTCCTTGCTCCTACTGCTCTCACAATCGGCCAAGTCGGCGGTGGATATCCCTGTAAACCTTCTTGCGTGGCGGAGGAACTGCACCGAAGTCAGTCTTCAAATTATCGGCCTTCTCAATCTTCCTGAGAATCTCGATCAGTCAGAAGACACTCGGGTGACGACTCGAGAAGCTGGCATTCAGACAGCTGTTAAATCCCTCAAAGCAGTTGTTGGTCCTCGGGCCGAAGGTCTCATGATGGTTCCACAGAGTTTATCATCTACCCACGTAGTGACCATGTAGTCGTTGGTAACGACGGCTGGAACATCAGGGCTAGTGTTCATCACGTCAATCCAGACATCCTGGACGATTACAAGAGGCAGCAGAGGCAAGGCAGACGTACGACGAGTCCACTTCTCAACTTCAAGAGGTGAAAATAGTGATGGCGATGGTTTTCGTCATGGCGCACCCTAATTCTGCACTGACTGACGACATATGGTTTGTTAGTTCTATATATATTATAAAGAACATTAAAAATATTGTAGAAAAGTAATTTGTATCAACGCCCGTCTCGCATGAAAACAGTTTTCCTTCAGTTTCTCTCAGCAGTTCAGTAAGGTCGCACAAGTATACAATTGACTTTAGTGGAGTATATATATTTTGTTTCACCTAAGGTACTCATTTATTTGGATACAGGTATTAAGACAACTGAGGTGAAGAGGTTTTAACATAAGTACAAAACTTCACGTCAGTTGTCTTCATGAAAAGCTTAAAATATTCATTTTCTTCATTATTGAGCCATTGCCTGTGCTGAACCTGAGTGGTTCATTTAACCCACTTCTTTACTAGCACTACGGTCATGACTTGTTTGTAAACACAAGTGTCTCTCTGTTTACCTCCATGCCTGCTGGTGGTCGCCTACACGGAGGGGAGCTGTGGCTCACATTTCATCTCAGAAATATAGCTGACTTATTTATGAAATGTATATCTTAGGAATTTTAAATGGAGACTAGAACAACAGTTACTGTGACTGGGCTTGTTCTGCCTCACAGTCCATGAACCCCATTATTTTACCTACTGCCTTGCCCTCCCTGCAGTACTAAAGCCCTAAATGAAGCAAATCTAGATTTCCTCTGAATCTCCCATCTCACTGGGGCTCCTTTTCAATTTAAATGGGATTATTTATGTATATTCCGAGACTAATTGTTAGTCTAGTCTATCGCTGTGAAGAGCTTGATGGGAAGGCCCAACACAAACTTAGTCAAAGTGCACTTGACGCAATAAGGCTGAATATTTCATGTTGCGTCGCAAATAACGTACCTGAGGCCAAAGTAACAATGATTGTGACAAATACTGGTTACTCAGTATTAACAACGTATGATTACTAGTATGTACATTGAACAGATTTACAGACTGTTTTGTATTTTAATTGTGTACTCTAAGCCTTGTCTTCAAGATATGTACCTTGTCCCACGTGTGTCTATATAAGCTTTCATGTTAATTTTATATACTAGTTGTAGTTATTGGGTGTATATTGTAAATTTCTCTGTGCATCGCATAAGTTGAAAATGTCAATATAAACGGTTAAAATGAAATTATCCCCAAATGTTTTTGTACACAAATCGTAATTCCCGTTCCATTATGTCCTTATTTCCAGTTGAGCAGAGAAATGTTTTTGCAGCCTTATTATTATAGTAATCCTTCCACTGATAAATTATACCAGCTTATGTCATCAACAAATCCTTCAGTTATCAAAAATTATCTTATTATTTGTAAATAAATCGTCCAAGATAAACTTTCATGTATAATTGTATAAACAGCACACTTTGTGCATGTATTGTATATACAGCACTATGGGCCCATGTGACCTTAAATGCAAATAAACTTGTCACTCATTTGTCTTGTATGTACTGGCAATAGCAATAATTGTTTATTAACTAAATCAGCCACCTTTAAATACTTGCAAAAGTACATTGATGGTTATTTATGTATTTCTAATGGGTATACACACATGTATGTGTGTTCAACCCGGGTCGCTTGGCTGACGTTTTGCGTAGTTATGTAAAGTATTGAACTTGATGTTTGAATTCCACCCTTTTAAATATGACGGATATTTTAACTGTATCATCGACGTATATGGTATTATCGCCGACTTGTCTATAATGCTTGTATTACTGTGTCGTGGCTGTAGGCCATTGTACACGTAATGTGAATGTACAGCTTCTAAATGTGCAAAGAAAATCATAACTAATTGGTCGATAGACGCATGGTAGATTGATTAAAATTGCAGAATTTGAACAAAAATAGAATCAGATGCAAGCGTTAACGTTGACTTTGAAATAACATTCAAAATCAGTCGTTTTCTGCCAGTTACTTTCTCGTCAATCTTCAGTTAAGAGTATAGAAAGGTATATATCATGACAACAGACTAGTGGTCAAGGCCGGTCATAGGACGACCAACTCGGACCGGGTGCTGCAAATGTGTCTGTATGTCTGATTTTATTACACTCTAGTCCACGGTAATGTAAAAAAACCTATATGATAGTTTCGAAAGCTGGCATAGTTAAGATACTGTAGTGGGAACAATATACAGTGAGTTAACATTATTCTATAGATGCGATGTTTTTTTCCCATACTGACAGAATGCCTCGTTGTTTTCTGACGTGGAGAAGGGCCTGGTCATACGGTTTACAAAACACCGCTTTGTCGTAAGTTTCCATCATTTGAAATCTTGTTTTATTTGCAGACAAAGCAAATGTTGCTATTCTAAACTACCCCTACAAAACATGTGCCAGTTTGATATATTCAGTACTAGACGGTGGAATATGATTGAAGATATAACATGGAAAGGGTTAATAATTTTCTTTACATGTCTCAAGTTGTCGCAGGAAGTAAATCTTGGTTCAGCCGAAAACATAACGTTTGCCCAACGACGAATGGTCCAGCGCTGCCGCCCCTGTCACCAACGACGTACTCGTGGAATAACACGTCTACGTCGGTTCCATCTGTGTAGCCGATTACGATTACGAATCATCTTTCCAACCACTCACTCTAACACCTGTGGCTCTAAAAAGTTCATCACCAGGATGAGGGGCACTTTGACCACGGTTTCTGATGAAACGGTCTTGTAAGCCAGTTGATGCCCTTTGTCGTCATCAGCAATATCTTCCGGCGATATCTGATTGTAATCTGCTGCAACATCAGAACGATTTTCAGTCTGTTTTAGCACTGTAATGTACAGCAACAGGCTGACACGTTTCATAGTAAATTTCGAATTTTATCAAGATAATGTGCCCATCATGAAAAACGCTTGCATGTTTGAACGAAATTCATAGCACGTTGTGAATGAAAATATCAGTTTTTTAATTCATATACCATCCATCACACAACTTGTTTCCCAAATAAGATCACGCCAAAATCGAATATCCTCTATTTTTTAAACAGTATAAATACATATATAACTTCATTACTGCAGAGAAACGTATTCATCCGTTCAATCGTCTATTCGTACACATCTGTGTAGAAATACATGTAAATACTGGGAGTACAGCTCAACAGTGATTCCGTAATGATCTCTGAAGTTCGTTCTTGTTTTAAATTCTATCACTTTTCTGTTTCTATAAACATAAGTACAGACTTGTCTCAGGGCTCGTCTACATCATCGTCATCTTCTATCTGAAAACAACGAGTGAATGAGAAATAACTCTATTTTGCGGTCAGGTGCAGGCGAACTTTGAATCCCGGGTTTTCAGACTAAACACCGGTAGACACGCCTGTGTGGGGAGATTCCTCCTGTCCTGTGTTGAAACGGGTCCTTCTCGCACATCAAGGTCAATTGTGAGCTTTGTCTAAGTTAAAACCAAACCCAGGCCCAATTTGCATTGATCGGCGCAGTCAACAGCGGCCGCCTCCCGAAGTGTAATCGACATCACCACGGCAAACATGTACGATAGAATCTCCATACACGATAACGACACACTCCCACTTCCGTGAAATTGACATGTTTCAGAAATCGTCGAGAGCGGACGTGCTACAAAGGGGCTTGATTGCTATATACAAACCATACATGTAGATGTTTACTGTCGGAGAGCTGCCCAGTCTATGACGATTTCAATTATATTCTAACATAGATTGAAAACCGCGATGTTTGGCACCTAGGCAGGTGTCGTCCGCTCCTAAGTATAATATTCACTTTGTACTACCCTTTAGGGTTCTAAATGCTATATATAGTATCATACAGCTTAAAACTATATTCGTATAATCTCAGTTTGATAACGTGTCAGGTTT